ATAGTTACGAAAAAGCTGAACTGATCTAACTAATTGGAGTCAAAGTTCGAGTTCGAGAGAAAAGAACCTTAACACCATTATAGGTGAGGGTAAATTGTGTAACACTCTAGGACCGAGAGGACTTGAGTGAAGATTATCTGAGTAGACTGAGAAGTGTCAGATATAGTTAACTCGCATGTAGTTTGTAGATGTAAGTTGCTTGAAACTCAATTACGTAAGAACATTAGACACAACGTTATGGGGAACACAATCCTAGTTTCAATTAATTACTGAAACAACTTTGGAACTGATATTTTGTCACTTGTTGAATTAGACTTTAGTTTGCAACTTTGGTTATCAAAGCATTAATGCTAAACCCAATTTTACTTTCTGCAATTGTTTATTTAGGAAATAATAACAACATTTGGGTAAAACGCGACAGTGAAATCATTTATGTAAAGAACTTCTCTATGGGATCGACCTCAGCTCACATTGAGTTCTATAAATTTACTTCGACCGTTTATATCTCTTAATTGAGGTGTAAGTTTGGACGTATCAAATTGTGGCGTCGCTGCCGGGAAATTTCATTACAGAAGTGTTTTACTAGCTTTTATTCTAAGTGTAGTTAGATTTCCTAATTTTACGTCTTGTTCTTTCTCTGTGTCTCTTTCAGGTGAGTTCGACTGTGTATGCCAATTACCAGAAGTAAGGGAGCCCCATTAGTCCCGTACGACCCAGAACTTAGGAAGACAATTCGAAAAATGGTGAATGCACAAGAACTTGAGGCACAAAGACTGAGATTTGGATTGGAAGCTGAAACCGTAGCAAGAGGTGTTCAGCCGAATGTTGTGAACAATTAACCTAGGGCAGTGGACGAGATCATAGCAGTGGATGGAATCATTCCTCCCCACCACCAACCAATAGCTCCAAGGGGTATAGCACAACATCCAGCTCACATGATGTATGAGGAGGATGACTTAGATTTGGATGGAGCTGGAGCCACTGGAGCGATAGTGTTACCTGCACTACCTCCAGGTGTTAAATTCACAATTACCAGCACTATGATTCAACTGTTGAATTTAAAAGGTATGTTCCGGGGTGCAGCAAGTGATGATGCTAACCAGCATTTGATGAACTTTGTGGCGATTTGCTAATCCCAAGAGATTCATGGAGTAAAGATTGTTTCCTTTGTCTCTTACTGGAAGGGCAACCAACTGGTTGAGTGAGATGCCGGTTGACTCAATCAGGACTTGGATTGAGTTGAAGGAGGCTTTTCTGTAGCGATTCTTTCCGGAATCAAAAGAGTTGCAGATGAAAGACGAGATCAGTGCCCATAAGCAGCTACCTGGAGAAGCGATGCATGACACTTGGTGGAGATTCAGCCAAAAGCTGAAGAAATGCCCAAACCATGGTCTCACTGAGACACATCTAAAACAGGCATTTTACAGGTCCTTAAATTATATCACTAAACATGTTCTTGATGCAGTGTGTGGAGGATCATTTATGAGGAAGCCATTCTCAGAGAGCATGCGATTAGGATTCAGAGGGAATCTCTACCGGATCTTTTCTAAGCCAAGAAGATGCCTCTGCTTAAGTTGCAAGTATTGGGTTTTCAAACTGAGATTTTACTTTCTGGGTTTCTGGATTTACCAGATCAAAGAATCCCAGCAATCAAGACTAAAGAAATGGATAAAAAAAAGGGAGGACTTATGCAACGGGCTATGCCACCCAAACCAACTGAGGGAAGTCGCATTTGTCCCATCAGGGATGCAGAAGTAGGAGATCTGGGGTACACATTTGAGCTGTCTGCTGAACAAAGGAACAGAAAAGAGGAAAGGGATCAGGATATGGCACACATGAGGACCCAAATAGATCTACTCACAAAGCATATTGTCGCCAAGTCTGAAAAGGTAAATGTTGTGAGTCAACCAAGAAGGTATGAAGATCAGAACATCGATCTAGATGAGGAGGCCAATTATCTGGGCAACCAAGGAAGTTTCCAAAATTATAACTCAAGCAACCAGGGTTATAATTCTGGAAATGTAGGTCGAAACTACTCCAGGGAAGGCTAGTATGATAGACCAACTAATAGAGAGCTGGGAAACTGGAAGAATAGAGATGGGTACAAGAATGATCGCAGTGGTGTGTATGTGCCCCCAGGTAATAGAGATCAGGCAAGTGGTAGTTCCAGCGGGTCTAAGCTGGAAGACATGTTAGCCAAGGTGCTACAAAAGGTGGAATCAACTGATGCATGGGTGAAGGAGATGAAAAGTGATTTCTCCAGTATGAGTCAACTGGTAGACTCTCACACCACCTCCATCAAGCAGATTGAGCAGCAGTTGGGGTAACTTTCAGCCTCATTAAATCAAATGATGAATGGGTCACTACTAAGTGACACGATCCAGAACCCTAAGAAGGATGGTAATTGCATGGCTATTGCCACCAGGAGTGGTAAGATTCTTACTGGCCCTATTTCTGCAGGTGCTAAACATGAGCAGGTGTGGGAACAAGCTAGAAGAGAGGAGGTTGAAGCTGAGGAAATAGATGACTTGGAGGATGCTTAACCAATAGCTAAACCAGTAAGAGCTAAAGAAAAAGAGGTTCAGGGAACCTTACCGTTACAGCAAATCCCAAGACCACATCCTCCTTTCCCTCAAAGGCTTAAAAAGAAAGCCGAAGATGGGAAATGTGCAAAGTTCATCACCATGCTGCGACAGTTGTCAGTCAACATCCCATTGGTGGAAGCTCTTGAGCATATGCCAGGATATGCCAAGTTCATGAAAGACTTGGTTACTAAGAAAAGAGCGGTGAGTATTGATTTGACTAACCATATTCATCACTACAGTTCTATTGCTACCAGGTCTTTGGTGAAGAAGAATGAAGATCTATGTGCATTCACAATACCATGCACTATCGGATCGATCAAATTTTCAAAGGCCTTGTGTGATCTAGGGGCCAACATAAACTTGATGCTGCTGGCCATCTACAAGCAACTGGGTTTAGGAGTTCCAAAACCCACAACCATAAGGATGATGGTAGATAGGTCAGTGAAGCGACCTGTGGGCATACTATGTGATGTGCTTGTAAAGGTGGATACGTTCATCTTTCTGACAAACTTTGTGATCTTGGATTGCTATGATCAAGGTGTTGATTAGGTGCAAAAGGGCCATTGGTTGGACTATTGTTGACATCATTGGGATACATCCGGGTATATGCACCCATAAACTTCAACTTGAGAAGGACTGCAGCCCAAGCATTGAACATCAACGGAGGCTAAACCCACCTATGCAAGAGGTGTTCAAAAAGGAGATCATCAAGTGGTTGGATGTTGGGGTGGTATACCCTATTTTTGATAGTCACTAGGTCAGTCCGGTACAATGTGTCCCCAAAAAGGGCGGTATGACTATGGTTGCAAACGCCAAGAATGAGTTGGTCCCGCAGAGGCCAGTCACTGGATGGCGAGTGTGCCTGGATTACAGGAAGATGAACAAGTGGACCTTGAAGGATCATTTCCCAATGCCTTTCATGGACCAGATGCTTGATAGGTTGGCTGGCAAAGGTTGGTACTGCTTTTTAGATGGATACTCTGGCTACAAACAGATATCAATTGCTCTTGAAGATTAGGAAAAGACCACCTTTACATGTCCTTATAGCACCTTTGCGTTTAAATGCATGTCATTTGGACTATGTTATGCACTAGCAATGTTCCAAAGGTGTATGATGTCTATCTTTTCAGACATAGTAGAAGACACTCTAAAGGTATTTATGGATGACTTTTCAGTGGTAGGTGATACCTTTGATGATTGTTTGTTGAATCTTAGCAGGGGCCTACAGAGGTGTGAGGAAGCCAACCTAGTGCTAAACTGGGAAAAGTGCCATTTTATGGTTAAAGAAGGCATAGTCCTTGGGCACAAGGTGTCACAAAAGGGTATAAAGGTCGACAAGGCCAAAATTGAGGTGATTGAAAAGTTGCCTCCACCTATTTGTGTGATGGGTGTTCAGAGCTTCTTAGGACATGCCAAATTTTATAAGAGTTTCATCAAGGACTTCTCCAAAATTGCACACCCCATGTGCAAGCTTTTGGAGAAGGAGGTGAACTTCATTTTTGATGAGGCATGCCTTAGAGCCTTTGAATGACTGAAGGACAAGTTAATTTCTACCCTCGTGTTCATTGGCCCAGATTGTGCAGAGCCATTTGAGGTGATGTGTGATGCAAGCGGTACTGATTTAGGAGTAGTTTTGGGCCAGAAGCTCAATAAGATGTTTCATCCAATTTACTATGCTAGTAAGTCACTAAATGTAGCACATCGAAACTACACAGTTACTGAACAGGAACTGCTAGCTGTGGTGTATGCTTTTGAGAAATTCAGAGCTTATTTTCTAGGCACTACATTGATAGTCCATACAGACCATGCAGCTCTGAGACACCTCATGGCAAAGAAGGATGACAATCCAAGGTTGATCAATGGGTGTTACTTCTTCAGGAATTTGACTTTGAGGTGAAGGATAGGAAAGGTTGTGAGAACCAAGTAGTTGATCACCTATCGAGGTTGGAGGCTGAAAATAAAGAGGAACTCGAGCTCGACATAAATGATTCGTTCCCGGATGAGCAGGTATTAGCCGCTACTCTTGATTTTATTCCTTGGTTTGCTGATTTTGCTAACTATCTCGTTAGTGACTTGATGCTTGAGGGGCTGACTTATCAACCAAAGAAGAGGTTCCTGCATGATGTGGGTAAGTATTTTTGGGATGAAACCTATCTGTACAGGGTGTGTGCTGACCACATCATTAGGCGATGTGTTCCTAAAGTTGAGATGTTGCATATTCTAAAAGTCTGTCACTCCTCTCCGGTAGGTGGTCATCATGGAGGTGCTCGGACAGCTCATAAGATACTTCAATGTGGGTACTACTGGCCCACAATTCATCAAAATGTGATGGATGTAGTGAGGAGTTGTGATCTGTGCCAGTGACAATGAGCCATCTCTGGGTGCCATGAGTTACCCATGACACCTATTCTAGAGATGGAGTTATTTGATGTGTGGGTAATCGACTTCATGGGCCCATTTGTGAGCTCCTATAGGCAGAAGTACATATTGGTTGTAGTGGACTGTGTTTCCAAATGGGTTGACGCAGTTGCTTTGCTTGAGAATGAAGGTAAGAGTGTTGCTGGCTTTCTGAAGAAGAATATCTTCTCAAGGTTCGGCACACCAAGAGCTATCATCAGTGATGGTGTTTCTCATTTCTGCAATAAGTTATTCAGCTCTCTTCTGGCTAAATATGGAGTCAAACAACACAAGGTAGCAACACCTTATCACCCACAGACCAGTGGCCAAGTGGAGTTCTCCAATAGGGAAATTAGAGCAATTCTGGCTAAAACGGTGAATACCAACACGATAGATTGGGCACGGAAGTTAGATGATGCTCTATGGGCATATCAGACAGCTTTCAAGATGCCTATTGGTATGTCTCCATATCAATTGGTGTTTGGAAAGGAATTTTATTTGTCGGTTGAGCTTGATCATAAATCACTCTGGGCTTTGAAGAAGCTGAACCTTAGTTGGAGCGAAACTGCAAACCTGAGGTTGGATCAGATCAATGAGATGCATGAGTTCCGTCTGAGAGCCTATGAGAGATCTGCACTGTGAAAGGAGAGGATGAAGCTATATCATGACAAGCATATTGAGAAACGAAGCTTCACTCCGAGTGACTTGGTGTTACTTTTCAACTCCAGACTTCGTCTGTTTCCGGGAAAGTTGAGATCCAAATGGACTGGACCTTTTAAGGTAACACAGGTGTTTCAGTCGGGTGCTATTGAACTGGAAAATGATAGGGGCGAGAGGTTCAAAGCCAATGGCCAGCGAATCATAGCATATTTGGGTGTTCCAAAGGATGTGAAGATTGTGGAGGAATGTAAACTTGATGAAGTCTGAGTAATCAAGTAACCTGCGTCGCGCTGCGACGTTAAATTATGCGCTGCTTGGGAGGCAACCCAAGATGTACTTGTCATAGGTATTTTTCCTTTTTCTTTATTTTTCTTTGTTTTTATAGTCATTGTGTGTTGATGTGTGCAAGAGAGAATGGGTTATAAATTGCAGGAATTGGGTGCAGACCGCTCTTTACGAGCAGTCTCACGGACCGTGGTCCCTTTCACAGGCACTTTCACGGTTCGTCAATATCAGGATCAACCAAATGATGCTATTGGAATTTGCCACAAAAAGGGTTCACGGAAGAGTTCACGGTCCGTCAAGCTTTGTATGGATCGTCTAGCCTCTCGTGAACCAGAGGTAAGTATTTTGTCCCAAGTCAATTCCCCGGACCACTGTACGGACCGTGCTGACCTTCACGGGTACTTTCACGGTCTGTAGTCCACAACCCAGTACTTCTAAGAAACCGATCCAACCCGTGTGAAATGAAAATTGAATTAAAACATATATATTGCTCTTCAAACTCCAAAGGACAGGTTTTTCTCCCTATTTTCTCTTCCATAACGGTTCTTAAGAGGATTAAAACGGTTCCCATCATCCATAATTCCTAAATTCATCAAAGATTCCAAGCCCTAATCTTAAGTTCTCAAGAACCTCAAGTCGCAATCACTGATTCATCCTTCTGCGCGAAATTTGTTTCTGAACTCCAAGTAAGTTCTTTGTTCCAGAACCTAGGCCTAAGGGACAGCCCACTAGGTGACCCCAAGTGCACTTTGGCGCATCGCCAAATCACTTGGGCGAACAAGTAGTCGCATCGCCAAAAGGTCCATCAAAGGTTTCTTTCACTCTATCTCCCTAGCATAGGTCCTTACTTGCACCCTAGACTTCTTCCTTGCTCAATTAAGTTCTAAAACAGCCTAGACATCCACTTAAGGTTACACTAACCCACACAATGAGGCTCTAGTTCAACCTATCATTTTGTGAGTCGTTACATTATCCCCCCACTTAGGGACATTCGTCCTAGAATGACACTTAAAACACATTAAGGGTTAACGACTCAAGACTTGAAGCCCAATATGCATGCAACGTCATAAACAATTCAAAAAACTATGAGGAAACCTCAACTTCACATCAAAAAGTTCAATGCAACGTAAGAAAGTAAGAACTTCATCTACAAACTCTTTATGCATCAAAACTTCACATTTCTCATTACATTGGAGGAATTACCTTGTCCAACTCATATCATGATCATCATAAAAACATTAAGTACATTATGCAATATCTTTATAAAAACACATGTAGGCATGTTCAACATTTAACCTCATGAAGCATATAGAAAACTCATACTAAAATGCATATCAACAAGAGGAACATAATTCATAAAAGCTCATTTTCTCATTCAAACATAAACTCATTAAGAACATGCATATCATAAGGAAACCATAGAAACACATATTCACACATGACTTGAAAAAACATGAAACAAGCTACAACGAACTCTTGGTCTCAAGCTTGAATAGGAATAGAAGGAAAGATATAAGGATACCAAAACTCTCAACAACCTTGCTATTCAACATACTATCCCTCACTTAGCTGTAAACCCAACTAAAGCTAACATGAAAACAACATAGGAACCTCAAGAAGACATTCACAACCATAAGGAACTATCACTTACCGGAGCCTTCATCCGGATTAGCTCATTTGTCCTTGTTAGCTTGAAAATCATAGAAACGGTTCAACTTTGGAACATCTAGATCCGGGCCTTTAAAAGAAGCTTGTTTGGCCTCCCTTCCTCTAGCCGTAAGAGTAGGACTATCTTTCACTTGGTGATCATTCTTTCCACAACCATAGCACCCACTAGTACCGGCTAGGCACTTCCCAAAATGCTTCTTTCCACAACTATGGAAAATAGGTTTAGAAGATGGAGGTCCACAACCTCTCTCTTGGTTACCCTTAGGAGTGCTTGAAAATCTTGGTTTGGAGCTCTCTTCTTGAACCTGGGTTGACCTTGCTCATCGTATCTACCTCTCTTCAACTCCCTATTCTTCCTTTTAAGTTTGGAGTCCTCAATAGATTGAGCATACACCATGAGTCTAGAAATGTTCATATCATCATGGAGCATCGTCGTACGACACTCTTCGTCAACTAGGTCAGATATACTCATAACAAATCGACTCATCTCATCCCTTGGGTTAAACACCAAGGATAGAGCATACGTAAATAATTGGGTAAATTCAAAGAGTATTCTTAAACATTCATGTTACCTTGCCTAAGGTTTATAAACTCCTCTACCTTAACCTCCCTCTTCTCACGGGGAAAGTACCTACCAAGGAATGCTTCTTTAAACAACTCCCATTCTATGGGACCCACTCCAACCGGCTTATTGGCCTTCCATTGACTGAACCAAATTTGGGCAACATCCTTCAATTGATAGGCGGCAAGTTCCACATTTTCAATAGAAGTCACTCCCATAGCATTGACTATCTTATACACCTTATCCAAAAACTCTTGGGGATCCTCTCCCAACTTAGAAATTAGGAATACCGAAGGATTCATTCTCACAAAGTCTCTCAACCTAGAAGCCATAGTACTCACATTGGGGTTCACATTAGCCTCAACACCCCTAGTAGCTTGAGCCGTCATGGCTTGAGCTTGAGTAGTTATGGCTTGAGCTTGAGTCAGAAGAGCCGAGATAACTTTCTCATTGGTCATAGCCGGGGGATCCACCGGAACTTGATTTCCTTCATTGCCTAGAGGAACTTGGTTGCCTTGAAGACCTTGGGGAAGAACTCCTTCATTCACAATCTCATCTTCCATCCTTCTTGGATTAGGCCTTGTATTCATATCCTATAAACACAAGAGAAGGGTTAGGAAAACGAAACTTATAGATTTAAACTCTAAGGCACGACTTCAAGAATAATGAAAGAAGTGTAACTCCCTGACATCCTATTGCTTCTCGCTCATAGATGTGTCGCGACTCACACCGATGAACAAGACTCTACTAGACGTGGCTTGTGAGACATCAATTCTAAAAACCATTTCCAAAATCTTTTTCTCTAATACCATGTTTGTCATGACCCAAAGCTAGCCCCTAGATGCTACACGGCGTACTCGACCCCGAAAGGGTCTAGTACAAGCCTCATAGCATTTCATTGCATTTGACACAGAAATAGTGCGGAATTAAAACTTATTTGAATCCAAACAATCCAAAATACTCAATAAAAAGCTTTTGAAAGACACAGCGGAAGCCTAAGTCTCACATGGCCATCTAAACAATGACTTGAAAACTAAAGTAGTGTCACGACCCTTCACAATCAAAAAGACTAATATTGTTTATTACATGAAATAAAGGAAACTTCTTATCACTTGTCCTTGATCTATGAGGACATACCACTTGATCTAGGAAGAATAGCAATCCAAGCACTTAAATCTAGATACAAGCAATCACTTGCCGAAACCTACACTTGTAGTAAAAACATGGAAGAAGAATGGGTTAGCACAATTAAGTACTAAGTATGATAGCCATGCAAAAACATGCTTAAAATGGACATTTTGTTTGAAAGACATGCTTGTATGCCATTTTGATAAAATCTCATTAATATAGAATGAGAGGCATAATATTCAAACATAACCACATACATGTCATTTAACCACATTAGAACATAATCAACATGTAACCCTTTACCTTCACATTTAGCCTTCACCTCAAGTAACCCTCCAACTATACTTTGTGCAATGTATGGATAGCGTCCCATACCACAATCCACACTAAAGTACCACCTTAAGGTCACCAAAAGTGAACTAACCATTCAAACTTTCCATCTTCACACAATACTCACATATAAGACACATAAACCTTTCAGAATTCATATCATCACATAAGGGCCATCACCTAAGACAGCCCTAAGGCATGCTTGTGCAATGTGCAAGTAGCATCCCATACTACTACTCACACTAAGTACTCCTTTGAAGTCACCATAAGCAAGGCACATTCATATACAATAAGTCATGACAAGGAAGTAACTCATGATACGATCAAAGTATAGCATGCATCATTTACATCATCTCATTTAAGCATATAAGAGTCAACATTCTTCATTAGCTTTATTTAGGACACTTTCATACATTAGCCATTAAGACATAGAGAACTCACTATGACCCTCTCAAAGCCTACTCAAGAAATGCATGGATGGCATCCCATACTACGACTCACACTTCATCGAACTCATCAAGAAACCATAATGCACATCTCACATGATGGAATAGGCATTAACCGGCATTGACCATGAGAGCTAAATCATGGAATCCGGTGTCATGTAACCCTACACCAAAGAAAAGTGTTCCACCTGCCTAAGGTAGAACTAAGTGTGTTTTACCTATGTGGGCACATAGTTATGGGATAAGAAAGATGTTCATTGGACTTTAACCTAACATTGGGAGAGTCACCATCTTACCATATCTACTCGGTGCTTAGCCTCCATTCCCATAGAGTAGTTCATTCGCATTACATTGTTGTACTAGAGAGGGCCACCAACATTAGGCCTACCGACCCAAGGTACATTACACGAGAAAGGGCCACCACCATTAGGTCTAGCGATTCAAGCTACATTAAGGATAGCTCGTTGAGTTTCCTAGAAGGGCCACCAATATTAGGTCTACCGATACAAGGTTCATCATTTCACAAATGAAAGGGCCACCAACATTAGGTCTACCGCTTCAAGGTTTTTACATTACATTAGTTCCTAGACTCCTCATGAAGGGCCACCAACATTAGGTCTACCGATCCAAGGTTTAGCCTAGAATACTTTTCCTTCATTCATGAAAGGCTACTAATATTAGGTCTACCAATTCAAGACATTAAGACTTTAAGTCAAGATACATTCATTGTACAAGAAGAGGATGTCTAAGCCTACCAATTCAAGATACAACACAAAGGAGAAAACCCTTCACATTCCATCATCATCATTCATGTATGTCAATTGAGAATATGCTTTCAATCAATAATA